ATTATATATATTATATAATGACAAACGTAGCATTATTTTCTAATTGCTTGCCAAAATTATTCGAATTTCTCTTGTCAGAGCCCACGCTGAGAAATACTGGTTTAACTCGTAAGTAGCTTAGGCGAATCAACGGAACACCGGTTTTCCAGGGTAGTTGGAGCTCGTTCGCGTGAAGGAAAGATTTCAACGAAATTTCAGCGACCGTCACGCGGCGCGCAGGGAAATGCGTTGGCTGTTTACGGTCATTGCAATTAGAGTAACTTTAATTGCTGTCGTCGGCGGCGAGGTACGTGCAGACCTCTCTTTCTCTTTCAGTCTCTCTGTTTCTCTCTCGATCTGACCTCCCTCCGTTGTTAGAGCTACTGCCAGAGAAATAAGTTGCGGGCAACAATTAACCGTCGAAAAATGGCGGAAAAATGCAGGAACCGGTGACAGCCTGTTTCCCTTCAGTTTTCAAACGTAATCAGCCACCTAGATCTCTTTATTAAATTCCATTCCGGATAGAATGTAGCGTGCTCGTTATCGGCCTCGCGCGGAATTATCGACCGAGCGTTTCCTCGAGTCTCGAAGAATTATCGAGGATCGCTTTGAAACCCTTTCTTTCCTCTTTTTTCGGTCCGCGCGACGGGATTTCCAGGATGAAAAGCCCGACTCGAGGATGAAAAAGATTCTCAGTCTCCTTTTCTCGTGGGAAAAAATCATTTCTTCGGAACACGTTTCGTAAACCGCCGAATGAGATACTACGAATATATACATATATAAATAGTTGTGCGTGTATATTCCATGTAGATATACTGTATGTAGATAGATATGCACGTAATCCTAAACCGTTGGCAACCTCTTGCGAATTGAAAGAGGTTCCTTCTCCCGTCGCTCGCCGTTTTCTATCTTCTCTTAATGGAGCTGCGTAACGTTCGAGATAAATTGCCGCCGCGGAAAACTCTTTCTCTCTTGCAAACTATTTATCCTGCACACCGGGCATAGGAACGTTTTCTAATGGAAACAGAGGGATTGGTGGTGGGAAAAGACGGGTGGTAGGCGGATAGGGGGAACGAGGACAACCCCCTGAAGAAAGATTCGACCGTAGCCACCGCCCACGATTTGCTCCCTCGCTTTTTAACCTTAATCGCTCCCAGACGAGACGATATCGCGGTTCAAGTTTACATCTGTACAATTTCGTTCGGCTCGCCGCGGAGGTCGTGTAAATTACTGCGCAGGA